GGCTACAAACGCGCCCCTCTGTAATAATGCTACTGTATATTTTGCATGTAAACATGATTTTTGTATTTATAACCAAAATAATAAGGCTCTCTACCGTAGAACTTCATATTTTGTAATATTAGGGGAAACAAACGCGCCCCTCTGTAATAATGCTACTGTATATTTTGCATGTAAACATGATTTTTGTATTTATAACCAAAATAATAAGGCTCTCTACCGTAGAACTTCATATTTTGTAATATTAGGGGAAACAAACGCGCCCCTCTGTAATAATGCTACTGTATATTTTGAATGTAAACATGATTTTTGTATTTATAACCAAAATAATAAGGCTCTCTACCGTAGAACTTCATATTTTGTAATATTAGGGGCTACAAACGCGCCCCTCTGTAATAATGCTACTGTATATTTTGAATGTAAACATGATTTTTGTATTTATAACCAATATAATAAACGCTCTCTACCGTAGAACTTCATTTTTAACTTTCGCCCAGATAATAGGCGGCCAAGTCAGCTAACCAATGAATTGACTATCATTTTTGAATGTATCCACAGCTTGAAATAGAGGAAGAGAAATGTTTGGTGGTATTTGATGGATTCGAACCTGGCTCGCCAACTCCTCAATCTAGAGCTCCACCAGAGGGACGCTCTAGAATAATCTTAATTTTAAGTCTTTTTTTTAAAAGAAACATTAGTTAACAGTGATTGAATCTTTGTGTATCAATGTTTCACAAATAATGAAAGAGTAAAGAGAGTCACTAAGTATGTTAGTAATAATAATTTGATGATTTGTAATTAACTTTAAAGTATGCATACGAGTTTTTCTTCTGCAAATTTTAGTTGCTTCGTTTAGTGTTGGTCACAATTTTAACAGATTCAACTAATCTTGGCAACATTGTTTGTAGGTTAACTTCACTTGTACGTTTTAGGATATAATCACTGTAATATTCTAATATTAATCACTATTAGTGAATAGGGAAAACTGAAGTTGACTGGAAACCTTCAATGGATAAAAACTTCGAGAATTCTGCTTAATAAGTTGTTGAGGTTGAGAGTTCTCTAGGCCTGGTGTTTAGGTGCGCTCAACTCGCAATATGCGAGTCGTGGGGCCTAAACCTCTCACCAAACAAGCTTGCACTTTCAGCTATGGAGCATTATAATGTGACGATCAGTTGTTGATAAAGCGTATTTCAAATGTTTGGCCATGCGTGGTGTTCACTAGCTGCCTTCCCTCTAGTCTATCACTTCACTATTAGGGACGACTAGCGATTAGCTAATCCCTGAGTAGCTTTGCGCGAATTTTAATAAACAAACAACCAAAATAATAAGAGGTTAAACGTTTATATGTGTGTGCGTTTGTGTTAAAGATTTCTTTTCCACCAGAGGTGAAATTGAAAAAAAAGTATCAGTGACGTAGAGACCTAATGTGGACTGCAGTTTCGCCCATTCAAGGCTCATCAGCACAACTTGGGTCAGCAAACCAAAGAAATGCCACTGGACCTCTTATAATGGCGAATTTGACGAAACGTCATAACAGTATTCACATACCTCAATTGATTTAACTTACTGTAAAGTCAAAAGGACTCAAAACCCAGCAGAGGTTAAACGTTTATTTCTGAGTGTTATCTTTTTTCTTTTACGCGCTACACTTAATTGTGCTATCATAACATTTAGTCAATCCAAAGTTTTACATCTGATTTTCTTTTTTCACAAAGTAAAATGTCAAATACAGTTTGTTTGTTTTTCCAGAAGTTTTCACCGATGACTGGGGAATGTGGCACAGTGGACCGGTAGACTCCGTTAATCTCGGAATATCGCGAAAGAAACGGGACAGTGCAAGAGTGGTTGCCATGTAAAATGAGGTCTAATGAAAAAATTGACTTGTATTTTCTCTATGTGTATTGAGCAGAGTATATTCAATTCCATATTATCTTAGTTCTCAAAATGGATGAAGCACTATTGCATTTTGATGTATCTTGTATAATTGAGAGCTGACCACTGAGATTCAGCCAATAGGGTGGCCCCATTTTATCTAGTTGTATACTGAAGATTAATTGTTGGAATAAGAATTATTGTATGGTGATGAGTTTGCTAGTTTTGTTATTTGCTTAATATGAAACAAAAACTTCTAACAAATGCATGACATTCAACTAATAAACATGCGACATCTTTGAAAACTGAAGAATTCTTTCTGTTTGTCACAGTTTCGTGATGTCCATGCAGGAATCCTCCTACTGTACGCACGTTCCTAGTTTGAAATAACATACATGGTGTAGTTAGAGAATTATATATATATATGGGTTCGGTCTCAGATATATAAAAACTAGTTTGGTAATGTTACATAGCTGTAATGAGAAAATCCTGGATATAAATTCGGTTTCACAAACAATAATGCTAGTTTGGTATCTCTTGACACAGCTGTTATTAGAAAACTGTGTGTAAGGAATTCGGTTTTACAAACGTAAAACCTTCAGTTCTATAGATTGAGAAAAATATGCGTAACATTACTACTAAATTATTTTTAAAAGGTCAGACCGTAACACACACACGAGTAACGGCCATGATAACAAGCCCTTACGGATAAGTTTCTTAAAAAGCAAAACAAATTGATGTGAATACCTAAGCAACCGAGAACGCATGTGAAAAGTTTGCGTACTTTAATTATGTTACGTTAGGCCTGACAAACTGCAAATAGCTCTGCTTTAGTTTAACTATGTTAAGCTAGCACTGATAACTACAAATATCAAGTTGGATTTCACAATAGTAGATGAAAGGTATCTAGTAACTAGCCGCTATTTACTGAATGTTATCATGAACATTTGATCAGATAATTTTTTTAAACTCATGACTATTATATCACATCTATTCTGAAACGTTGTTCGGTTTACTTTTAAAGACAAAATTTAATACCTTAATATTTTTTTTGTTGTTGTTGTTTGTTTTAGCGTAAAGCTCCACAAACGGCTATTCTTGCTCTGTCCCCCGTGGGGATTGAGCCCTGAACTTTGGCGTTATAAGTCATTGAGCTTGTCGCTGAACCACCAGCGAACACGATTCAGTATATTTAACTAAAATTACCGACTTCAAAACGTTTACAGGGTTACCAGATAGTTTACGAAGGTCCACCAGAGCACTTTCGGTTGTTTATCATTTCAGTTTTGGTGCAAAATAAAAGAGATCGGGTCCTTTTGGTCTGTTCATTTCTTTCATTATATCAGGTTTTATTCAAGACAAAAAATTCATCACCATTGATTGTATACTTATTCAGCCCAATTTGCAATAACTATATAAATGACATAACGATTCAAACATGAATAGAATAAACTCGCGATCCGTAGCTCCTCCAAACCAGTCAGGTTGCTGATTTTAAGTTGACTTGAAAACAGCATCTTACAAGTGTAAATGATTTAAAATTTTCTCTAGCCATCCATCGTGCGTCTTGCATATGTATGGAGTTTATTTTAGCCAGATGTTCCTTCATTTTCTCTCATCACAAGTAAATCCTAAAAAGTACCGTTTTAACCAAACGAATTCGTAAATATATATATATAATTTATGAAAATGGCTTCTTAGTACAAACTTAAATCATAGTTTTCATAAACACGTTGATTTACTCAGATTTTTCATAATATATTGCGAATTATCAACCACATATACAATACAGATAAAACCATTCGCATGTGGCCTCCATTATTCTAGTAAAAATGAATATGCTGAGCAAACAATCATTAAACACCTACACGTTTAGTTCGGTTTTTTCAGGTCATGTTGACTTTTTCGTCTAAAATTTGCTATTTGATCATTCACTCAGCCATTGATAATGCAGACTATTGACCTTTTTCTCTATTGAGCAGATAATTGACTTTAATAACTCATTTTGTTAAATCGTAAAACTGAATTTTCGTTAGCGAAATAACTTCATAGACTATCCTTCCCAGTTAGATGGAGGTTCTACTTGATTGTTCCAACTAGTTACTCTTGTGTTTTACATTTTGTTTTCTCACATTCTCTAAGTTACAGAAGACAAAAATGCAAAGTTTTGTTATTATTTTTTCTTTTAAATGCAAAGCTGAACAAGAGATTATAATTATCTAAGTTGTGCTCACCATAAGGATAGGACCCCGAATTTTAGCATAAGTAGTGTCATGGTTAACAAAATTCTTTACAGCAGTGGAATAAAACCCGATCATGAAATATAATGAACACGAATGTAACTAACATAGTATTAACTACTATGGGTGGTTTGGAATAAATACAAAAAATCCAAATAATATGGTTTTCGTTTGAATAAAATCTCCAAATTCATGAAGTTTTCAGATTTTCTGACTAATTTTCTCACTGAAAGGTAATTACACTTAAAATACAATTTCCGTTAAGCGTATGAACTATACACGAAGTAAGAATTCACAAAAAAAATATTCGTTAATTCATATCATTAGAAACACTAACATGATAAATAAAATATTGGGAATTTAAAAACCTGCAAATAAATTTGTTTGTAATTAAGCACAAAGCTACACAATGGGCTATCTGTGCTCTGCCCACCACGGGTATCGAAACCCGGATTCTAGCGTTGTAAGTCCGCAGACATCCCGCTGTGCCACTGGAGGGCCTGCAAATAGGAATCGTAAAAAAATAAGGAAACAAGCCTGAAAATACTGTAGACATTATTTACTCAAACTACAAATTCCTATTTGACTCCACCAAATTTAATTCTACGTAGCAGCTGGCTTTTTTTTTTTCTCAAGTATGGGCAAAGGATTACTTGATATGGTAGCTAACTTTACGCATTGTAATGATAATAAACTTAGCTAGTAGCTAGCTGATACGGCTCATGATGATTTATTGTAGATATTGACTATTTGATCGCATTATTTCGAGATGTAAAATGTTAAGCTGCTGCTGGAGATTTGTTTGAAAATGCAGTGAGCATTAATAGTTTCTGTGTAACTAAATTCTCTACATGTAATGCATAGCAATGGTCAAATATATGCCTAGACTAAGACACAACCCCCATTAAGCGCGTATAAAATTTTACCATTAGAAAAGCAGCCTAAAACAGACGTCTAAAACATCGTTTTAATTAAACCTTCTTATGTTTTAAAGTAATTATTATACGAATGTGTTTAATAAAATTAATTATGTGTATTGATTTTTTCTCTCCTTCACTATAGGGGATAGCTCCCTAAAGACACCGATTGTATAGTGTACAAAGCATTGAGTATCTACATGTTACACTCATTTAATGTTATCTATTATTGACTGGTAATTCGTGTTTCAACCTGTATTTAAGCTTTTTAAAGGAACAGCAGATGTTTGTAAGAAAGCGGACTTTAAGGGATAATGATAACATCGTTCACACTACAATTATGATGCGTTTTAGCTTATATAAAATATTGAAGAAGGAAATCGAATTTCCAATACCCCAACGATCTTCGTAGTATCTTATTTATTATTCTAGAAAAGGTTTGGATGCAATATGCCAAGTTGTTTTTGTTGTAGGCTGGCAAGAGAATAATAATAATCATTACAAATGGGCCGTTTTGAGCTGATTTTCTTTTCCTTGCAAGTCTAACATGCGTACTTTTTTGGGCATTTTTATATGTGTACAGCCTTAGCAATCAATAGAAAATTATTAAAGTGTTGTTTGCACTGAATATTTACTGTTTAAGGTGCTTTTCGCCCGAACATTCAATTAGGGTTTTGTGCCATTCCTTGCGATCCCTATTATGAACCATATGGTGGTTCATAATATAACAAAGTTACCAAAACTGTTTTATGAATTGATCTTTTAGATAGAACATCTTAGTATTAAATCCATGAAGACATTAAATCTACGAGTGTTTGTTTAAGCACAAAGTTGCATAACAGTTGTGCGCACCAGAAGGACTGAACCAGGAATTTTAGCATTATATGCTCAGAAACGTACCACTGAGCCACCAAGGGCGTTCTTTTAGTGAAAATACCTTATACAAGTATATAAAAATTGGGGTCAATTAACAAAACTTATATAAAGAGATTTGACGTCTTTAAACAACCAACCATTAAAAGGAATTTCATCGTTTTCTATTCACCAGAACAACAAAAAAAAAGGATAATATGTTTATAATTGTGTTCGCACTTTGATGTAAGTAAAATTATTATACTTTTAGCTCTACTGAATTATACATAAAATATTTAAATCTTAAGAGTAGTTTAGTGTGATGTAGTTAAACATACCTTTGTTAGTTTGAAGAACAATCTAAAATTACAGATGAATAGTATAATAATAAAATTCATTTGTCTGTTACTGGTGTTGACATTATTACCAATACATACCAGGCTGATCTAACACCTGTGAAAGGTACTCAATAAAATATGTAGGCACGAAAGTTAATATTTTCAATTAATGTTATATTTGGCGATATAACTATAAAGGCATCTAGAAATAACAATATTGATAAAAATCTATATGCAATTTTTATTAAAACAAAAAAAATTGAAAGTCAATTTTATAAACTAAGTACATTCATTTTACCAATCCTAAACAAGACTACTAATAATTATGATGGCTTCAAAACAATGATGGATTATGCAGAGTATAATATGATAACACTTACCAGAACACCACTGACTCATAATGTTCAACCAAACTCAGTTCTGTATATCTTATTCAAACTGAAAACTTTTACAATCAATCCAATTTAAATTTATCACAAAACTCTGTAATATTTTTTTTTAACTACAACTTGTGCAGAACTGTTCAGAGAAACCTCTGACTAGAATATCTCAAAAGCATATTTACCACACTACCCGCCTAATTTCAGTCATTCATTATAATATGTTTGCTATAATCAGTGCTGATTATTATAATGCCCGAACTCAGAATGTGTTAGTCCACTTTTCCAATTATTTATTATTTGAACAAAATTTCTACCTAAGTTGGGCTTCTGGACATACAGTTATCACATTAGTAAAGTTAGTTCTTTTTGTTTTATCGCAATACTTGGATAAATCTAGATAAGGTGCAGAGTGTGCCATCTTTCTCTGAGCCAAAACCTAATAGTGTAAATTAATACTATAAAACACAAATACCACTTAAAAAAACATTGTCAGTGAAAGGAAATACAGCACTAGTACTACTCATTGATAAATATATATCTACAAAAACCTGACAACACCCTGCTTTCAACAGTTTTAATGTTTAAAATCAGCCCAATAGAGATAAAGTGAAGAATATAAACTGCTCTTTGAATTCTAACAACTGATTCTATTCTATATGATCCTTCTTTGATGTTTCAGAGTATATAATATATATATTAAACTGATAAATTAGTCCTCCATCCTAGTCTGAATCTTAACTGATTAAGAAGTATTTAGATTAATACTAAATCAACATCATTCTGTGACTGAGTACAAATACTCAGAAAATGACCCATCAGCTCTATAATCTTGAATCACCACTTGCCAGAGAAATATTAAAAGAAAGAAGATGAGGTGAATCATTTTTCAATATGAAAGGGTTATTTTATGCTCAAGAAGCTAATAATCACAAATTAATCAAAGTACGTTTTCTGTTAGGTCTTTTCAAGCAGGGAATAAAATAAGTTTCCCGAGCATGCTTTATGCAACATGACAAAGCAAAGGATTTTGAAATAATTTATGTGAAGTCAATAAATATGTAAAAACATCTACCAGCTGTTCTCTACTTTTAATTATGAGCTTTTGGTCTTCTTAACAGAGCCTTCATCAGGTAACAATGTACTGAATAATACAAATTCATTTATATGTGGAACTCTTTTTAAAACCAGGTGTCTAAAGAATAATCCTAACAATAACATTATCAACCATTTAGAAACGGAAGAAAACAAATTATGACAAGTACACAGTTAACAATCAAACATTGAAACTTTTATATAAACTGATCAATGGAGGCTTGGTATACAAGGAAAAAATGATTTTTTCTTTCCACTGTGATTGTCAGGTTGTGATCCATTAGTAGTTGAAACAGGTTGACCATATAATGTACAGTATATCATCATACACCAAGCCTCAGGAAAAAAAAGGATAATTGATAAACTTAACATCATCATAGTCTTCATAAGTCCTTCTACACTACATGATATTCTTACAAAAGTAAAATCCCCAGTTCCCAATCCTCTCACAAAAACATGGTTTTCAGCATTCAGTTTGAGTGTAATAAACTACACATCGTAGACACACAATGATCATTACAGGTAAGATTCAAAGAACACAAAAGCAATTATAAACACTTTGTTACATAATACACATCAGCTATAGCATTTCATGTTTAGAAAAACAAGCAATAATAAAAAACAGAGGAGAAAATTTCAAATGGAGAAAAAAAAATTACTGCTTTCCAAGTACAAGACAGTGGATATTAACCAAGACAATAGCCAACAACCAGAACTCTATAGACACCATTTATCAAACATATTGTTTGTCATGGTATCGACATAGCTGTAAACCTTTAATTTTTTGTGTTGTACTCCTGACCAATAATTCTATAATGTATTAATTAATTGAAATCTATACATTTTATTTTTCTATATATTTCTCATAACTGTTATTTTTTCTCATGTTTATTATATTGAAGTAATTGTTTGATCGTGCATATTTTATACAGTATGTATAAGATACATATATATGTTATTTATACAACTATAAAGACCAAGGTTTTGATTAATCAATTTACATAAATATTTAAACCATTGATTGTTAACTCTGTATTTGTCATTATTCATTTTCATCAGTTTAATAATTGATGTCAGTTATTGTTAATATTTTTGCTGAGACATCTGCCTTTAAAATGTGTTCCACATATCAATGAATATATTACTCAGTACATTATTGCTCATTGAAGGTTCAGGAAAGATGGTTGAAAAGCTCATAATTAAGAGTATTTAAAATGCAAAGGACAACTAGTGTATTTTTTACATATCAATGTACCTACATTTTGAGTTTTAAAAAAGTTACCATTAAAATTGTAAAACAGAATTAAACCAAAACCCCCAAACTCCCTCTAACTATATGGTTTTCAACAAGCATGTGTCTGAAACTTTTTTTTATGCACATTTTAAGTTCTACATACTCTACTGTAAGTGGCAAATCTCATCACCATTACATCCTGATTCCTCTGAAGAAAAACTTAGATAATCTTGTATAAAATTCTAATGAATGCATAAAAAATTATGTACTTTACCATCACACTATTGCTACCATATCAAGACCCCAAAAAGGTCATTCTCCTAATACCAGGGTTCATCAGGCTGGCTGGGATACAACTACTGGTCTAGGTACTATTTCAATTGCAGGTTACATCATCATACCAGTGAAGACCACTTAGTTAGTTTTGATATTAAACACAATCCTATTAATTTACAACTAGCTCCAAAAAACTAAATTTGGGAACGATTTGGCTGCTTATGTTGGGATTTGTGTATTCATCCCTACCTTATTTCTGTACTTTTTGC